ATCTTCCCCAGTCCTGACATACAGCACACATTCAAACGTTTGGAGTTGTGCCCGTCTGTTTGGGTAATTTCTGTGTTCAGGCATCACAAGTGAAGCAGTTGGTGGCTCCCCACCGGATGCCATTCACAAACCATTCTTTCCCAGAAGGTGAAGTCTTGAGTGTGAGGGCATACCAGCGAGCTGCTGGAACCCATTCACCTCTGCACTCTGAGTGTGTGAGTGGAACCTGTAACAATTTGCTTTTGTTTCTCCTGTCCATGGTTCATACCATGAGTATAGAGGGAAATTTAGAAGTCCTGCGAAGTGCTTTGAAAGCTTTTCTCAATGGTAATCCAGGATTTGGTAGATGAAAAAAACCAACTTTATTCTCCCCTATTTGGAGGCCATTCTGGGTTACATTTGACTGTGTCCGACAGCTTCCTGGCAGTCGTGGGTTCCAGTGGCTGACCAGGCTGACTAGCTTGAAACCTTGAACTGTGTTGTTTCCCTGATCTGTCTTTTGTGCCTTGGTACTTGATGGCTTCACTTCCAGAATAAACCATTTCTACTGAGTCCTTGTCTTGGGAGAGCTTCCTGGAGAAGCCAAGCCATTCTGGGCCCCCTCTGAGTGCTGTCTAATGGCTGGTCTTGCATATGGCACTTTTGATAAGTGATTGTTATTGTGATAAAGGCAGAAGCAGTTTGGGACTTCCTGTTGAAATCTGATGTTGCCATAGCATTTAAGTGTGGGAGTATTTTTTGCTTTGCAGACATATCAATGTGAGACCTGGGGAAAAAAATAAGGCAAAGAAATACTGCCTCTCTCTTCCTTAAACAATAGCACTGAGAAAAATGGGTGGAAGCACAAACAGGAGAACTTTCGTGAGCTACAAATGAGAATTTTCTAGTCTTGCCCAAGGGGCATGGAGATGGATGCAATTTCCTCCCGCCAGAGTTTGGTACCATTGCATCACAGAAGTAAGTCTGCACAGCAGGCTGGTGCACTCCAGACAACCCTGCAATCCAGCAGTTCCCACTGCTCTGCCGTGAGTGTCTGCCAGCTACAGACACTCCTGTTCTTTTTCACTGTCTGCAGAAAATATCAGTGGAACCAAACCAAACTCACTGGATGTGTTCTTTCAAAGCTTCATCACACTCTAAAAAGTGGGGAGGGCAGGGGATGTGGGGAGTTGGATTCTGCTTGGTCATGTTCTGAAGCTTTTGACCCAGTAAAGAGGCCTCCGTTTTAACAAAACCAAGAGGCTGGTCTTTGTAGGAACAAATAGGCTCATTCAGCGCGGAGCACAGAGTAGAAGTGGGCACATGGAGGGAGGAGGATCTGCCTTCAGGCCCCTGGAGAGGAGCAGCTTGTTCCTAGGTGGCTCCTCCATCTCCTGATGCTCTAGGCTTCCTGAGCTCTGGAAACCTACAGATGGGGATGGGGTGGAGATCTGGCAACAACAACAATCTTACAGTTCCTACTGTAGACATTTAAAAGATATTTCAGGATTCTGGGAGATAGCTCAGTGGATAAAAGCAATTGCCACCAAGCCCAAGAACCAGATTTCGCCCCCTTCCCAGAGCCACACGATGGTAGGAGAGAACTGACTCTTGCACGTTGTCTTCTGACCTTCACCCTTACCTGTCAGGTATGTGCTTCCCCCAAATAAATAAAAAAATAAAATAAAACGTTGTGGTGGTTTGAAAGAAAAAGGCTCCCATAGGCAAATAGAGAATGACACTATTAAAAGGTGTGGACTTGTTGGAATAGGGGCGGCCCTGGAGGAAGTATGTCATTGTGGGGGTGGGCTTTGAAGTCTCACATGCTCAAGCTATGCCCAGTATAAAACACAGTCTCCTTCTGCTGCCTGTGGATCAAGATATAGAACTCTCCTTTTCTAGCACCATATCTGCCTTGCTTCCCACCATGATGATAATGGACTAAACCTCTGAAACTGTAAGTCAGCCCCAATGAAATGGTTTCCTCTTGAAGAGTGGCCATGGTCCTGGTGTCTCTTTACAGCAATAAGACCCTAACTAAAACACAGACCTAAAACATTTCAGAATGAAGTAACTAGCGGCTTTCAGCCTAATTTGTGGATTGGTGAGAAAGTTTGGGAGGTGAGCATAGTGTTGAGAGAGGGCTCTGGGTCACAGCCTGGCCTGTGAGGGAGCTCAGCTCCCCACCAGCTGTGTGAATGCAGGCAAGGCTCAGTGTGTTTCTGAAGACAGTGATAGAATATTTCAGAAGACTGTTATATGGATAAATAAGAAATACATGTCATATCGGCACAGGATTTTCTCATAACACTATGTCATAAATATCACACAGGACCTTCCACGTTTCCCTTGTAGCAGGAAGTAGTACTGGATGTTTATTGGATGGGATGCAGCCAGCTGTGTCTTCCTAATTATCCCCACTTTCTTTCTGTTCACCCCCCTCCGGGCTTCCCCTTCCCACACCTTTGCTTATTCAGGTCTTGTTTGTTAGCTCAGGATCTAGTCTTGATCTTGAGGAGAGGCAATGCAAGAATCGTAACTTACGCTCTTTCCCTAATTTATACCAAACATATCTGTAGGGGTGTAGAGGTCTTTTCTAGATTGTAGTCATCCCTATAGGAAATTAGAATAGGCTCCTATAGGAATACACGTTGGCACTGTTGGAATGTAAATATGGTGACCGGGGTCTATGGCTGTGCCAAGAGATTGCAAACCATGACCTCTGAATGCAGCATCTTGATCTCCAGCCTCTTGGGTTTTCAAACAATGCCCAGAACCTTTCAAACTCCCAGAGATTCACTGTGTTACACGTGTGCATTGTTATCATGGCTCCTTAGCGATTTCTCGAGCAGTAGATGCATGTGGTAAGAGTTCTTGATAAATTTCTAAATGAAATGAATTTCAGCTTGGGGCTGTTGCACTTGTTTCTAGTTTACTTCAGGTTCCCAGCCCTTTCCGTGTCTCGTTTGAAATCCCAACATGCAATAAAGCTGTACTTGTCCAGTGTTTAAGGCATTTAGTGCTGGGTCACACAGTCTGAGTCTATGAAGTCTGCTTTTAGCACTGTTCTGGTGGCATCTGCCTGGATAAGGCAAACTGCTTTTCCTAATTTTCACACAAGTCCAAGGGAGGAAAAGATAATATCCCCTTAGCTAGCCAGCCAGTGCCTCGGAGGTTAAAAGGAAGCACCTGAGTGATGTTAAAATGAACTACATGCATCTGCAAGTCCATGCATCAGCTTCAAAACCAAGCCCACCTCTCCTTTACATTATCCTTGAAGGCAAGTTTTTTTTTCTTTTTTCTTTTTGGTTTTTCGAGACAGGGTTTCTCTGTGTAGCCTTGGTTGTCCTGGACTTGCTTTGTAGACCAGGCTGGCCTCAAACTCACAGAAATCCACCTGCCTCTGCCTCCACAAGGAAGGCAAGTATTTTGAGCCCTAGAAGCTGTAACTATCGTGGTTCAGAATCTTTCTGTGCAGGACAACGTGATGCACACCTGTAATCCAAGCACTTTGGGAGGCAGAGGTGTACAAAAGTGAGTCTAGGACAGCCAAGGCTACACAGAGAAACCCTGTCTTGAAAAACCAACCAACCAACCAACCAACCAACCAACCAACCAACCAACCAATCAACCAACCAACCAACCAACCAACCAATAACTTTCTGTTATATTCTTTGGGATGCTAATGAATCAAAGTCAGAATTAAATAAAACTAGAAATATTTCATAATATTTAATGAGTACATACTTACCAAAGTTGTCATTCTTTCAAATGGAGAAAACATATAAAATAAATGTCTATGAATTTGATAGAATTTTTTTTTTCCTGGAATGCAGAAAACACTCTAGCAGCCGAAAAGAAGCTGTATGGTATTTTTCTTCATCTGTTTGTTTATTCATACTTATTTACTTTAGACAACATGACATGTAGTCTAGGTTGACCTTGAATTCTCTCCCTGCCCCCTGCACCTCATAAACAGTGAGGAGATGCTATGGCATAGATGGGGTTTTGTCTTCTCTGAAGGGAGACTATGTGACTGTGTTTTCACATTTGTGTTTCTCTGTCCACCCCTCTGTCTCCTTAAAGGAGAAGCTTATTTTTCTTCATCCCACATGCTTTAAAAGATAATTCCAGGTAAAAGTATTTTCTTCCTGACATTTCCCTTTTCCTCCCATGGGTTCTATTTACTTCCTTCTGGACTGACTTTGAACTCTTGGTCCTCCCGCCTCCACCTTCCAAGGGCCAAGGTTACAGCTACAGCCACTGTACCCCTTCTCAGCGAAACAGCTTTATGTAGAAAAATTCTCTCTGTTAAAATAAATACAGTTCTCTCCAAACACCCATTGCCACCTGACCTAACTTCTCTCCACCTGTTAACAGGGTCAGATTTGTTTACAGATTTGAGCTACGGGGGAGAGAGGGAAGAACTGTAGCTTCTTCTTGGTGGCCCACGGGGCTTTGGCAGTCATGGCCAAAAACCAGGCAGCTATAGTGCGCAAGCCGCTGGGTCTCTCTTTGGTTTCAGGCTTGATGACTGCTTGTGCTAAGTGCTGATGGACGGTCTTCATTAGCTTATGAAGAGTAGAGGAGATTTTCACTACAAGCGCTTTGGTTAAGTATGGCATTTTTCTAGCTTATTATCTTTTGGGCTCTCACTGAAATGGGAATATGGTTAACTTGAAATGCCTCACCCCCAGCGAACTGATGGTGTTTTAGCCTTAATCAGCCAATGATCTGGTCAGCCCCAGCACAATTGTTTGATCTGTTCAACATGGGGTGCAGGCCATGCTTCTCTCCATCTTCACCAATGTTCCGAGGTCTGCCCCTGCCCTGCCTTTTCCCAGACTTCTTCAGTTCTCGGCATCCTGGCATGGCTTCATCAAAGGTAATATATAGGAGCATATCCTTCAAATCTTTGTAGTTTTTTGTAAGAAAACACAATTGATGTAAAATCCCAAACCTGTATTGGTGTGTCAAGGGGACTGAGAATGTCCGCCACCTTAGAAACTGGCAACACAGCATATGTTACCAAATATTCTTTAATTTTATATTGTTAGCTCTCAGAAAATATTCTGAGGGAATAACTGAAAATACAGAAATATATCGTTAGTACAAAGACATTTCAATTGTCATCTTAGTAAGAGCTGAATATGGTCTACCTGTTCTATTCGGGAAATAGCAAAAGAAAAAGCCCATTTATATAATAAAAGCTTCATATAAAAAAACCCCAAGATTGTGAAAGATGTATGATATCGTGTCTGATATGTGATATTAAAAGCCTGCAAAATGAAAAATAAACAGCCTTTGTAGATTAGGCAGAAAAATGTCAAAACCAGTGCCTTTTAGTTATTTCAGTGACATGTGGGAAGATTGTGCAAAAATCCCCTTTTAGCTCCAGGCTAGAGCTAGGCACGCACAGCCTGCTAAAGGTCACCTTGGGAAAGGCACTATCCAAGCAGGAAGCCAGAGCAGGCTGTATCCCAGCAACTGCTGTTCTTCTCTTTACGCTGTTTCACAACCGGGTCAATCCTTGAACTCCATGACTTAAAATTATAACAAAAACAGATCCTAGAAGCTACATCTTTATACTAGGAATTAATTTCACAGGTGCTTAATATTAAACAGTATTTGGAATATATAATACAGAGGGCATGCCACACCCCTAAATAATACCAAACAGCAGAGTGAAATTCTATAGTATTTGCTTACCTTACGAGCTAAACTTCTGTCTTTTCTTGACGTTTTTATACAAGGACATTATCAACCTTTTCCTGCTTATTTCACATTGAAAAATCCAGTGGCACTTCCGCTCTTACCCTGTCATTCCTTAACCCCTTCCTTGTGGAGGAAGAAGCTTGTGACAATTAGATAGATTTTGATACATCCAAGGAAAGGTTACTTCAAACCAATTGTGATGTTTTTGTTATATTACAAAATATTTCCTCATAGAAATTATCCATAGTGTTAAAAGCAAAGTCAAGGGGTACATATGACCACACACTCACTATGGCTCGGCTGGGTGTGGCGAAGTGACATAGCATTTTCGTACCATGCATAAGGCCCTAGGATTGAGCTCAGCACTACACCCAAACCTAAAATACTCCCAGATCAGTATGACAATCCTTACGGTCATCACTCCTTCCAACAAACGAACAAATCCTCTAACACTTTATTTGGGTCTGTGTAGGCACGCCAAACAAAACCTTCACTATGACCATCAGTGTTGTTGTTGTTTTTTTCCCACTTACGTCAGCCCTTGAACGAGAGAAGGAAGTTGCATAGACTCTTCCGGAACTTTGCAAAACATTACAGCATGCCCACAATCAAGAAGTTTCTAAACCTCATCATGGCGGCATATGCAGGGTTTCTGGGAGAGGAGGTGAGGGAGGCCTGCAGTGAGTCATCACAGGAGGTGAGGCAGCGAGTGCTCCCTTCCTATTTTTGACTTTCAAGGTCAGGCAACATTTCTACTGTGGTGATAAAGTTGTGACGACGATGAGAAAGAATGCTTTCTTAACTGGGCACATCATCTCCGAAACATTCACTGCAACAGTTCAGAAGGCCCGGCAAATTCAACTTTATCTCAAATATCTGACTTTCCATTCAGGGCCGATTTTGAGTACTTGGCGTTCCTTTCCCAGCCCTGGCGGATGCGCGTGAGGGTCTTGTCTATGCACGGCATGACGAGGATGAACTTCATCACCAACACCGAGCAGGGGACGATGAGCGCTAAAATATAGGCTGAAGGAAGGTTCCACCTCAGAACCGCAGGGCTGAGGAATTTCTTTCCACCATACACCAAAGTGTGGGCTGTGCACAAGACCAGGGTCACATAACCCAGTTTGGACTAATAAAAACAAAAGCATGGAAGTTAATATCATTCACATCTTAGAGTGAAATACTGTGTGCTAATGAAGTTTACTTGCCAACAACGCCAAAGGCAGGATACTATTATAATATTTAGGACACCACTAGGTTTAGAAATATATAATCTTTCTTCAGGAGGATAAATATTTCATTAAAATAGAAAAAGATTTGTTTATTGATGGCGTGCTAGTTTTGTCTTAACCTGGCTTGATAAAAGAAATGTCCCAGGAGTAAACTCTTATAAGTTTGGAGACATGAATGCCCTGTTTGGTCCACAGAGGAAAATTCTTGTATTGATCATCTTATCTGGAGTTCAGAACCAACAGACTTCTGCAAGCAAGCTTTGCATTCTTTTCTGTTACTGGTCAAAAGCAGATGCTAGCCCATTTCCATCACAGTAAGAAACAAGTGCTAAACTGTGCTCAGGGGGCTCTGAACTCTGAAGTTCAGTTTTTCTTTCTGCCTTAATTCCTTGAATTTGTCTACATTTGGGCCCTTGGAGAAATTGCAGGATTTGAAATTAAAATCTAATTTCAATTACTAATGGTCTGTTTTCTTATCCAGGTGCATAGTGAACTTGCATGGGATTATCTGGAGGGCTTGTTAAAACAAATTGGTGGGTTCCACCTTCAGAGCTTCTAGTTGCTCGGATTGGGTGGGGCCTGGGGCTTTGTGGCCTAATGAGGTCCCCGGGGGGTTCTTCTGCTTCTCTGTGGATGAGCTAGGTACTGTGAGGACCACTGGTCTCCAGGAATAGTCACTATCTTTAATGAGGTGTCTGGTGGTTGATCTGAGCGAAAAATGAATTCCTCTCAGACAGACCAGGAGTTAAGTCTAGGGTGATGATACTCATAAAATTTTGCTTTGGAGTTTCAAGCTTTATGGCAAATCTGCCTTTTCTTATCAGTATGTCCAGATCGAAAGACTGAATTTAGAAGGTGAAATTTTGCCTTTGGGTTCTTTTTCAGCTTCTACCCAGTGCCTCTACACATCGATAATAGCTTTTTGGTGCTCTTCACTCTGTGGTCTCAGTGGTGGCTCTGGGAGTCTCAGGAATCTTGGCAAGATGTCCCAAGCAGCAAATCAAACCCCTGTCGAGTCTGCGTGTCGGTTTCTGAGTTCATTTTCTGAGTGAACTGCTAATGAGTTGACTGGGGAAGTTAGGGAGCCAAACGGAAAATGAGGCATGATATGAGAGCAAAACTAGAATATTTGTAAAAAGCTATATTCAAGTTTCAATACCAAGACCTTTAAATTTGAGGCACTTACCTGGACAAACCGGAACTCTCTCCAGTTGACGGCGTTGCTTACTGATGGCAAGGAAGTGATCCCCAAGAGAAGAAACAGAAAAAATCCCAGGATTCCCAGTGCCAAATAGGAATCATTCAGCCATGCAGTGGAGGTACTAAATGGGCTGTCTTTATTAGCCAAGGCCTATGAAAAATGGGAAACAATTAAAATGGACGTTCTCACACTTTGTCCTTCCAGAGGGACTGCAACACACCCTACATGCGTTACTTGTGCAAAGCAAATTGTGTATCATTTCCAGTTGATCAGTTAGGAACAGCCTTGGAAGAATACATTTGGATGTTTTGAGCAGAAAAGGTAATTGGTTCTCCTGTGATTTTGTTATAATTCTTGTTTCTAGGAATATGTAGGGAGTTTTAATTCACCCTATATACCCTCAAACAAAGTCAATATTTATTTTAACCTTCTTTAGCACATGGCTTTCTGCTTCTCAAACAAAATGCAGTGTTCTCAAACAATCACATCAAAATTTAGTTTTATATTCTGTTTAGTCTCTCTCTTTCTCTGTATCTCTCTGTCTTACACACACACACACACACACACACACACACAAAGTTTGAGTCTTTCATGCTGCTTATGTCATAATACAGAATTAAACCATTCATATCACATTGTGGGAGGAATCAGGCCATGTAGTGTCATTTGTACTCAAGAAACGTCCATGCATTTGTTGCTGGTAAGTTACTGATTGTTTTTGAGACTGTAGCAAGATACATCAAGACCATTAATTTCTAAACCAGAACAGACTAGCAGCATGTCTAGGTACTGTGAGGACCACTGGTCTCTAGGAATAGTCACTACCTTTAATGAGGTGTCTGGTACTGAAATATACATTTCTGCTCTAAATGCTGAAAGACTACTTCAGCTGATTTTGTCTTTGAGTATTCATAAGATAGTATTTGATATTTATTTCAGAACTGTTTGTTTTTCTGGCTATGGAGAACAACCTCCCACAAGTCAAACATTAATGGGCTTATAAGCACCCTTTTGTGAATTTGTTTGCATTGCTGTGGCTCATGTTTGGGCAGACCCCATGCTTAGTGGACAGTAGTTTAGACTTCAAAAACAGACGCTTGAAACATAAGCATTTGTGCTATTGACTCTTACCCAGAGAAACCCTTGAGTACCTCATCTGCCAGTTGGTCAGCATCTGTGAGCCGAGGATTAGACCTAGAGTCAAGTGAGTCTGGAATCTAACTTTTATTCTCAGTAGTTCTATGGGATCTCAGCTGGATTCATTTGCAAGTCGTGGGATAATGTTTCTGATTCTTGATACTTAAAAAAAAAATGAAGATACTAGATAGGTTGGACAAGTCATGCCTCTAATCCCAGAACTTGGGAGATCGAGGCAGGAAAATCATGAGTTTGAAGCCAGCTAGCCCTAAATCATAACCTGTTTAAAAACCAAACCAACACAAAGAACACGCTTTGGGGAGCCATCTTTTGCAGCTGTGAAATGGACTGTGGTAGATCAGGCTCGTGCTTTGACCCAAGGAGTAGAGAACTACAGAGGAGAAGAGATTTACCTGAGTAATGGTTGAGTTTCTCAGTCTCCATCGTACATAGTAACGAATAGGAATCACGAGTGTGTAGATGACATGAAGGAAGGCAAATCCCAGAGCCACCAAGCCCAGCTGCTTTCTGCAAAGCATCCAGTGGTCAAGCCAGTTTGGGAATCGGCGGTACTTTGTTCCTCGGTAGAGCTGCAGAATGGCGGCAAGAATACCAGGGAGGTATACCAAAGCAAGCAGGGTAAGTGCTGTTATAGGAAAGACACGGTTTGGGATGGAAATCGCCAGGCGAAATGTATTATCCGTTTTGCCGTTCACATAAGGGTAAATCACTTCTCGTATAGCACAGTACACAAAGAAGAAGACACACAGCACAGAGGACAAGTAGAAAGGGAACCTCCACATTGGAAATAGCTGCAGAGGGTAGTTTTCTATTTCATTGGCTGCCAGAAGAGATCCTTGATCCAATGGAGTGAGTCCCAGAGTACGAGCAATGTCCATCACTCTGTGCTTGGCTTTGCCATCATTTCCACAGACAAACACCTGAGTTAAAATATTTAGTTCCATATTTATTACTTCCTTTCTTTAGTAATCAGCATTAAAAGTTATATAAGCACCACATAAAAAAGTAACACAATAATCAACTATCTTAAAAACTGAGATAGAGAATTAATATATCTATGCTTTGAACTGGCATATGTGTGCTGGACAGTGAGAAACCGAGCTTCTTAGTTGAGGGTAATTTTAGCCACATCGTGTTGCTGTAACATGAGGTTCTCTGTAGCATGGGTAATCTCATCTTTCTCCTGCGTGTGGGTGTCACATCATTTATGACTGCGGCTAATCTCGGGGCGTAAGTGGACCCAGTGTCACACAAGAGGAAAGCGAATCAACAAACAATTCCTTTCCAGTATGGGCAAGAGGACTCTAGATTTGGACCTCATTTTGTTCCAGCAAACTATTAATAAAAGTTGAGATGTACCTGAACCACAATTGATGACACTTCTCAATCAAACCCAAGAAAGTTGTCCTTAGCCCAATTAGAAAAATGAAATATTTCTGGGTATTTTTTTTTTTTTTGAATTGTATTAAGGTAAGGAAACCTGCATTATTTTAAACATTAAAATATTAAATACATGGAAACATTCAGCTTTAAAAGGCTGAACACAAGTTCATTTCATCTTACCTGGCGACTGGCATCAAGTGTTCCTGACTGGAGAGCCCAGGCTGAGATGGTGTTAAAGGCTTTGACCACATGCGCTCCTGGCACCAACTGAGCAAGGTACTCAGCATTCGATTCTGGATACTGATTGATTTTGCGGTTGTTACTGACATCTACCAATACTTTTCCATTGAGAGAATCAACTAGTTCAGTGAGGAAGTCATAGTGCTCTCTGTGCATAGCCAGGACTATGATGTCAGACTTCGATGCTGCTTCGGAATATGGCAAGACCTCTGCTCCCCTGGGCAGAAGGCTGGACCCCTGGGGGTTTCGACTTCCAAAAACAACAGAGTAACCACACTGAAGCATTTTCAATCCCAATGATTTCCCAAAATCCCCTGTTCCAAAAATGCAGACAGTCTCTTGCTTTCCTGAGGAATTTGTAGTCAGAGGAAACACATCTGTACACGTTTTCTCCATCACTGAAAAGCAAACAAAAGAGATTAGCGGTGTAGAAATTCAAAGGACTTAAAGATCATCAGCTTGTAACTGAGACTCCCCAAGACATTAACCAAAAGAGGTGCCATGTTTACAAAAGTGATTGGACGTCTTGCCTGGGAATCCAGCCACAATGTTCAGAAGCTGGTGTCCTACAACTTCATAGAATAATCTAGGTTACTCTGCATTCTTTGGGAGAATAGTAAGTCTTCTTTCAGGACAACTTTTCTCTATTTTTTTTTTTTTTGTAGGGGAGGGCTCTGCTTTTCAATGATGTATTTTTCCATGCTTAGAACTACACTGTCTACCAAGGACTAGACAGTTGGCAAATATTTGTCAAGCATGAGCAGGATGGAATGTGAGAGTCAGAAGGAGCAGGATCCTCCCATGTTTCAGGCACAGTGTGCTGTAAAGGAGGAGGCTGAACGGATCAAAGGTACCAAAGAGCAAGGGAGAGAGAAGCTGCAGTAGAGAGGATGACAGTCACAAAACTTATGTAAATCCATGCATAATTGCACCTTTTTAAAAAGGGGAGCTTTGGAAAATTTCCCTTTCTGTTTAGCTCGTGAAAAAGTCCTGTTGCCTTAGCTGTGCTTGACCCAAGTCATGCGAATGCAGAACACACAGGCAGATCTTTGCTCTCGGACAGGAGTCATGAGATAGACAAGAAACACAGGAATTTCGTGTATTACCACAGAAACCGTGACTAATCAACACAGCTGAATCATTTTACAAGCTATTCAGAGATGCCCTCAGCAGGTGCCAAGAAGGGTATGAACACGTGTGAGAAATTATCTGGGGTTGAGCAAGGTTCTTCGTATGCAAGCATGGCTGTACTTTGAAAAGTTCTTAGCAAGACATATGAACGCAAACTAGCATAGCAAACTTGGCTAGCTGCAAATCAGTTAACATCTAGAGAATATACATTACAAATAATATGTACTATACATTATAAATATGTAGCATATATTAGATATGATAAATTATAAATCTGTAATATATACCATATACTATATAAAAATAAACATGCAAATATATTATATTTATGATCTATATTAATATTATATATTTTATGTAATATATTTATATGTTTTAAATTTATATATAAATTTTTGTGTATAATTTTTATATTTATATGTAATATGGTATGTATTTATAATATATTATATAATATTATATGTTTATAATGTATAATACATATTATATTATACAATTTTATATTTATATATAAATTTTAGTGTCATATGTAACATACACTACATAGATTTGTAACAGATATTACATATATATTGGTATTTTCAAGACAGGGTTTTTCTGTGTAGCCCTGACTGTGCTGGAACTCACTGTGTAGACCAGGACGGCCTCAAACTCGTACGGAGATCTGCCCACCTCTGCCTTCTGAGTGCTGGGATTAAAGGCGTGTGCCGCCACTGCCCAGCAGTTAACGGCTATTTTTATAGCGCAAACCTTCAAGGTGCACCCAACATAGTTACCATTCCGTTCTGTACACCTGTTTTGTGTATCAGAGGACTGACTAACCGTCTCCTCATTTTCATCACTACTTTATTCTAATGTCTTTTTTTTCTTCTCATACTGAATTACTATGAGCAAAACTTATAGAATTGGTGAATTTACTAGTAATGAGAAAGCAACTTCTTTGTAGCAGTATTCTCAGGGGTTGCTACAAATGCAGTGATTTCAGGTGATTTGGGCTGTTTGACCCCTGAATTAATTCATTCTACCTCTCTGTAAAGTTTTGTAAAAATTAAGATATTGACTCTGTGGCACTAGTTTCTGCATTAGCTTTGTGTGTGTGTGTGTGTGTGTGTGTGTGTACAGGTGCACACATGTCTATGTTTGTAGAGCTCAAGAACAACTTTGGGTATCAGTTTCAGGAAGGCTCTTTCCTCCTTTGAGACAGGCTCTCCTATGGGACTGAAGCTAGCCAAGGCTTGGTTAGTGGGCCAGTAACTCCCAGGACCCGTTTGTACCCACTTCTCTAGTGCTGATGTTACAAATTCCCTCCATGGTTAGTTAGTATTTTCACATGTGTCTGGGAATCCAGTTCAGGTCCCTGAGCTTGCATGACAAGCACTTTCCTGACTGAGCTTCTCCTCAGATCACCTTTGCACCGACTTGCTAGCAAGGTGGCCTTTGGCAAGTTATTCAAACCCAGTTTTGCTATCTTTAAGATGAGGGATAATATCCGCGTCGGAGTCACTGAGTCTTAGATTCATTTACGTATCTCACAACAGTGCTTGAGACATAAATGCCGAATTTATCTTTAATAGTTTATCTTTAATAGGCTATTTAATTTATTCATTATCTAAAGAATTTAACCCACTAGTTACTTAACTAATGTCTATGTAAAGTACATAATGAGCATTAATCATGCTTACATGACTGAGATTATTTTAAGAACATGCAATAATGTGAACTAGAGATTATGATGAGCCTACTCCACTTACTTTCCTTAATGAAATCCTATATGAAATGGCTGATACAGCCACATGAATTTATCAAAACACAGGTGTAGAAAAGGATGAAGTGTGGGTTTCTCTTAGTTATAATTTTTTAATATTTTCATTTAGTATTCTCTTAAAATGTATCTGGACAGTTTAAGGTAACGTCCTGGAGCTATTCCCCCAACCACTAAAACATGTTTTCACTTCCAAAACTCCAAAGATGTCACTGGGTAAACTGCAGATGTAAAAACTGGTAAGGGGCTATTAAATGTTACTGATTGACCCAATAAAAGGAAATGTGGTTACTTCTTCCCTGAATACTTCCTCATTGTGGTAGAGGTGATTCTAAGGTTGACACTTTGTGACCACACCTTCAGCCTCCCTTCAAATCCCCCTGGTGATATTTCCAGTCTCTGGGCTGAAATTTAGCTCTGCTCAGCAAACACCGCCCAGCAGAAACTCAGTTTGGGAGTCTGACATCTGTACCCCTGGCTTGTCATGGTGCTTCCCTGGGACCTGTGCCTGCTTAGCATTCAGCTCCAAACTGTCCACGGGGCCCACAAAGCAACAGGGAGCAGGTCTCTGTGGACTCTGTCTTTCTTTTGTGGCTCCCTTTCCTTCTGGCACGTAGTCTGACACGTTTCTCAAGGTTCCTTACACTGCCCCAGGGGAACAGAGCACTCGTTATCTGTGGCCATGGTTAACCTAGCTCCCTCTTTCCCATGTTCCCTGGCCATGCCCTCTGCCCTTCTCTCCAGCTCCCCAAAACCACATGTCTAATAAATCATTGGCACGAATTCCTTTGTTATGGCTCCACTTGACATGTAACTCAGGATAATATATGTATACACACACACACACACACACACATACACACACATATATATGTTTTATTTATTTATTTACTTATTTATTTATTTCAGTTTATGCACTTTGTATCCCTACTGCACCCTTCCTCCCTCATCTCCTCCCAGTCCCACCCACCCTCCCTCTTTTCTTCCTATGTCCCTTCCCTAGTCCACTGATAGGGGGGAACTTCCTCACCATGTATCTGACCCTAGACTATCAGGTCTCATCAGGACTGGCTGCATCATCTTCCTCAGAGGCCTGGCAAGGCTGCACCCTCCCCAGGGGATGGTGACCAAAGAACCTGCCACTGAGTTCATGTCAGAGACAGCCCCTGTACCCCTTACTAGGGAACCCATTTGGAAACTGAGCAGCCTATGAGCTTCCTCTGAGCAGGGGATCTAGGTCCTCTCCATGCATGGTCCTTGGTTGGAGTATCAGTCTCTGCAGGCCCCCTTTGCTCTGTTGGTTTCCTTGTGGAGTTCCTGTCCCCTCCAGGTCTTTCTATCTCCCTCTTCTTCCGTAAGGTTTCCTGCACTCTGCTCAAAGTTTGTCTGTGAGTCTCATTATGATTTAAAGTTACCATGATTGGAATGACAAAATAAACAACATAAAAAAAGTTAACAACTCATTGGAGCAATTTAATTCTGAGGTCTTGGGGAAAATATTGTAATTATAGGTACTTACAGAAATATGATGTATGCATAGGGCGTCTTTTGCAATAGTGCTGTGCAGAGAGCTACCACACCCATGCCATAGTTTACCTCAAAATAGCAACATGTAAACACGAGCTCATGAAGGTGGTAAGGTTTCTAGCTCAGACTTTTCCAAAATGTCCAACCCTACTCTTACATATGAAAATAGAGGAAAACAGGAAATTGTAAGAAAGGCAGCCAACAGGAAGAGCATTTACCGAAGGTAAAACAGGTTAAAGAGTTAAAACAACAGCCTTCCCTTTCCCTCCTCCCTGTGGGCAATGCACCACATCAGCTGGGTAACTGAACGAGAATTTCCTAGCTTGGAAAACCTCCAGGACTGATTTACTTCCCATGGAAACATCTTCCAGAAAGGTTCCTTGACCTAAGCAGGACAGGCAAAGTAATCCCACAGGAATGTTTACTCAGGTTAGGAATTAACGCCCAACGACGCAGCGGCGAAGGTAACTTTGATGGCCACAGAGGCGGCTGTCATCCAGATGAAGAGTCTTGCCCATCATACTCCTCTGTCACTGCATTCCACCCCAGGCACTGGGAACCCGAGGCAGCATTCTTTAGAGATGCTCCCACTGAGGCCTCCCAGGAGAATGAGAGTTGCGTGGGCAAACCGCAAAGAGATACAGACTGTTCCAGCACCTGGCACCTCTGTCTGCTGCTTCTCTTCACAGCCACACCCATCTCTCTTCAGAGAGGCTGATTTGGAAACCATTAATCTGCTCTCTACAGTTTTGTCTTTCTCAGAATGCTACGGAAATGATATCACACGCTTACACAGACAAGCTGACAGTCCTCTTTTCTTCCTTGTTTGTTTTTCACTCAGTATAATGTAATGACCCTGAGATTCATCCAAGTTGTTTTGTTTATCAGTTTTTCCATGTTATTTTTGAGTAGTGTTCCAGGGAAGAACTGTATTGCCATTTCACGTAAAACATTGTTTCTGGAGACCAAAGCCAAATA